GATAGATAGATAGATAGATAGATAGATAGATAGATAGATAGATAGATGGATGGATGGAAGAATCACAGAAAGCCGGTTTCATCCTTCTCTTCCAATTTTTGGGCATTTCCTTGGAGGCTGGCCAGAGCCCGCTGGGACTTGTCTACAAGCCTACAAGTTTAATCAATTATGATTAAATATGCAACAACATCAAATCACAAGTGCCAGCTGGCATCGGCCTTCATGTGCCTCACCCCTCCACCAAAAAAGATGTTGTAATATATCCATGTATTCCACGTGTTCCAATGGACAAATATTATTATTATTATCATTTTTATTTATTATTATTTGCTATTTGTTATTATTCTCTCTTTTAATCATTAAACATGAAACTCAAGTCAAGTGAACATTTAAATTGTTTTCTTTTATGTCTCTTTTCTTTTATGGACACCGAGAGCATTTGCACCAAGACAAATTCCTTGTGTGTCCTATCACACTTGGCCAATAAAGAATTCTCTATTCTATTCTATCCTGTTCTATTCTATTCTATTCTATTCTATTCTATTCTATTCTACTTTCTATTCTATTCTTAAAATGTATCACAGATATCATTGACTGGCACTGATGGTGGATATGGGTAGCTGCCAGCATACTAGGTATCAAATAATTATTGTTGTTATTGTTATTGTTATTGTTATTAATAATATTAGTATTATTATTAATCATTATTATTAGTCAGCCACATGTTCAGACTGGGTTTGGCATTTTTGTCTGCCTATCAAGTCCTTTCCAAGGACCTGGCACAGGCAAATTATTATTATTAATTATGTTGTTATTTTTGTTAATAGTAATAATAATAATAATAATCCCTTTCCTGCTAACTCAGGCACACGGATTGAGACAATTTCACCTGGCTGAGCAGCCTCTTCTGTAGAAGAATGTATGCAAGATTTTTTTAAAAATCACACCTTCTCCCCGAACGGCTAGCTTTCTCCCTGCAGGGACTTGTGCTTCCCTGCAGAAACAAAAGCACAACAAAAAGAAAGAAAGAAGGAAAAACAAAGAAAGAAAGAAAGAAAGAAAGAAAGAAAGAAAGAAAGAAAGAAAAGAGAAAACATGTTTGCAAAAGCTAACACAGCAGGCCTTTTTTTCCAAATATGGACATTTATTGGGGGGGGGGGCTTTTTTTTTTTTTATAAAACACACACACCTTTCACGTCATCTCAACTATTTTTTTTTTTAAATGGCCGCGAAGTGCGCCTTAGGAAGGATGGCCATCCCTCTCGGGGACCGTTCCCAGCTCCCAACTGTGCTTGGAAGACCTAATCCCTAATTTTTTGGCGTATCTCAAGAGTCTCCACCTGCCTGCTCTCTCTCTCTCTCTCTCTCTCTCTCTCTCTCTCTCTCGCTCTCTCTCTTTTTTTAAAAAAAAAAAGAGAGAGAGAGAAGGTCATTATGCTTTATTGACCACTGACAGGAGCATGGAAAACAAGCCTGGAGTTGTTGTTGGTTTTTTTTTTTCCTCTCCTCCCTCTCTTTTTTCTTTTTTTTTAATTTACCCCGTTCTTTACTTCTTCTTCTTCTTCTTCTTTTTTTTTCCCCCTACCGCTCGATCCTGATTGGCTGAGGAGTGTGGGAAACTCCGAGAATGAAGAGACTCACCGCCCTGGATTCAGGGTATAAATATAGGATGGGGAAGCTGTGGGTTTGCAAACAGGAGGGTTATTATTAGGTTCCCCCCTCGCCGCTTCCCCCGGGTCCAATTTCCAGAATGACGCCTGCCAACCTCATGTTCGTGGACCAGAAGAGGCTGCTCACCCCTAAGGAGAAAAACAAAGTAAGTAAGGGATCCCCAAAAATGTTTTTGTTGAGTTTTTTTTTTTTGATAGAAAAAGGAGGAATTTTTTTGAGCGGGGTTTAATTCTGCTTTTCCTTACGCGCCTCCTTTCTCTCTCTCTCTCTCTCTCTCTCTCTCTCTCTCTTTCTCTCTCTCTCTCCCTCCCTCCTTCTCTGGCAGCTGAGAAAACCCATGATCGAAAAAATGCGCCGGGACAGGATGAATAGCAGCATTGAGCAGCTCAAACAGCTACTGGAGAAAGACCTGCGAGTCCAGCAGGCCGGTTCCAAGCTGGAGAAAGCCAACATCCTAGAAATGGCCGTCAGCTACCTGAAGCATCAGAACAGGGCGCAGGGCGCAGGTGAGTCCAATCCACCAAATCTGTCAGGAGAGGGTGGGGAGGGACCTCGGAGGGTCTTCTAGTCTGACCCCCTTGCTCAAGCAGGAGATCGTGTGCCGTCTCAGACAAGTGGCTGTCTGGTCTCTTCTTAAAAGCCTCCAGTATTGGGAGCACCCACAGCTTCTGATGGGAAGGAGTTCCCCTGGTTAATTGTTCGAACTGTCAGGAAATTCCCTGTTAGTTCCGGGTTGCTTCTCTCCTGGATTAGTTTCCCTCCATTGCTTCTTGTCCTGCCTTCAGGGGCTTTGGAGAAGAGCTTGACTCCCTCTTCTTTGGGGCAGCCCCTGAGATATTGGGACACTGCTATCCTGTCACCCCTAGTCCTTCTTTTCTCTAGAGTGGCCCTATCCAATTTTCTGCGACTCTTCTTCTTCTTCTTCTTCTTCTTCTTCTTCTTCTTCTTCTTCTTCTTCTTCTTCTTCTTCTTCTTCTTCTTCTTCTTCTTCTTCTTCTTCTTCTTCTCCTTCTCCTTAACCCATTTTCAACATCCCTCGTGGGTCCCAAAAGAAAACCAAGAACTTCGTCCCATTTGTGGGACCCTTTACCCAGTTTTGAGCCAATGCCTGAAAAATGGGGACCCTTCTCTCCCTCCCCTTCCCCTGGAGATCAACTGCATCAAACGTTGCCCCCAAGGGGGGACTCCAAAGGGACTAGAAGCTTGACAGAAACACCCCCCCCCCCCCCCCTTTCCCCAGCAGGCCCTCCCCCCAAGGAGAAGGAAGTGGATTTCCAAGAAGGCTACGCCAGATGCCTCCGAGAAGTCTCCCGCTTCCTGCTCCTTCACAAAGTGCACCCCCAGACCCAGAAGAAGCTGATGTGCCACTTTCAACGCGTCCCCCTGCCCACGCTGGAGTCTCCCTTCGCCTCGCCGGCTGCTCGCTGGAAGAAGCCACCCAATCCCAAGAAGAACTGTTGTTCTCTTTGGCGACCATGGATGGAGTCAAGTCGATGATGAAGATGTGGAAGGACTTTCTCTCCTTCTCTCTCTCTCTCTCTTTCTCTCTCTTTCTCCTTCTTTCTTTTTGGTTTTGGAAAGTTTGGAAAAAGGGGTTTCTCTCTCTCTCCCCCTCTGGAGGGGAGGAAAAACACCCCGTTATTTATTCTCAGGAGGGGAAGCGGAGAAGATGAGGTTGGGAAGTGGGACGAGTGGGAAAAAAACCCAGGTGGAAACGGTGCGCCTCCTCCTAGTATGAGGCGGGTCAGGAACCTGGTTTCCCTCCTAGTTTGGCTTAACCAGGTTTTAGCTGGTGGGAAAGGTAGCTTGGCCACCCGCTAGGAAATGGGCGACGAAAGGGGTGAGGGGTGAATTTTCACCTCTCTGTAAGGCAACCCTAAATCTTGCTTTATATTAAAGAGAGAGGGTTGCTTGATGCGTGGATGTCATACATTTGGAAAGTAAGGGTGATCCTGCGTTTCGGGGGTGGGGTGGGGGGGCGAGGTGGGGGGAGTTGGACGTTTGAGACAAGGGCTTGTTGTGTCTCATTTGGGGGTGTTGGTTGTGCAATTGGCATACTGTGTATGTGGTTGGTTCGAGAAAATAAATACAGATGTGAAAACTACCCCGCGTGTCTCTTGTTTCTGGGGCTTCGTTTTTTGGGGTGCTGTGTATAGGTGGAGGGAAGAAGTTATAAATAAATATTCTATCTATCTATCTGTCTATCTATCTATCTATCTATCTATCTATCTATCTATCTATCTATCATCTCTCTCTCTCTCATCTCATCTCTCTCTATATACTGTACATCATCTCTCTCTCTCTCTCTCTATCATCTCATCTCTCATCTCTCTATCTCTCTATCATCTATCTATCTATCTGTCTATCTATCTATCTATCTATCATCTCTCTCTCATCTCATCTCATCTCTCTATATATACTGTACATCATCTCTCTCTCTCTATCTATCTATCATCTCTCTCTCTCACACACACATCTCATCTCTCATCTCTCTATCTCTCTATCATCTATCTATCTATCTATCTATCTATCTATCTATCTATCTATCTATCTATCTATCTATCTATCATATATATATATATCTCTATCATCTCTCTCTCTCTCTCTCTCTATCTATCTATCTATCTATCTATCTATCTATCTATCTATCTAGTATTCAGCTTTGTTCGGGTATTTTCCCACGTCATTATAGTTGTGCTTTTAAAGTTGTAGCAACGTTTCGGCAGAATCTCATCTCATATTTATTTATAAATCTAAGTATTTATACTGGTATTTGCAAAAGGCTGGAATCGCAGCGTCTCACTCCTGCCCTTTAGGGACCAGAGGTGGAATGAAAGACCTGCAAGCAAAATTTCATTTCTCTTACACTGATTTAATTTCAGCCCTCCCTCAAAAAACGCACAGACAGTGTCCTTCTCCCTCTTTTTACAATAACCCTGCGAGGTAGGCCACGCTGGGAGAACATACCCTGAATATTTTGAATTTTAAAACTCCCCCCTCACCCCAAGTTTGCTGGAAGCTTTGTGAGTTATTCAAACATCAGAGAAAAAGCTCTACTGATTTTAATTTTAATTTAATTTAATGTTCATATCAGGGATTTTCAATTCAACGCATGGAAAGTGAAGGATGTGTGTTTGGGTTTATTTTCATCGTCATAATCTACACTGAAGATGGTGTTTGATTTCATTGTACGAGGTGAAACGACAGTGAAGTAAATGAAACTAAACTAAACAGTTTTAAAAACAGAAGTAACTGCAGGGGGAAACCAAAATTGCCCGTTTTCTACGAAAGAAGCTGAAATCTCCATTTTTTTTGCATTCAAAAAAATTCTCCCTGCTGTGTCAGCAACGTTGTTGTTTTTTTTCTACCCGGCTATCTGAAGTGCCGGGAAAGGAAATGTTATCTCAGCCAAGATTTTGAGGCAAAGCTACAACGTAGGCAGAAAGTGCATTTAACCATCTCCGTTAAGGTAAAAGAGTTGAATTTTAATTTCAGTTTTTAAGCGAGGCACCAGTGTGTAGAGGGACGGCGATACCGGCCGAAGGAGTATATAAATAAAATAAATTGAATTTTGTTTCTATCCTGGCCTTGGGGATGGCTCCCTTGAAAATACTAGTGGTTTTCCTATTTTTTCCAATGATGATGAGGGAAAAAAAAAAACCTTGAGGAAGAGGGACAGGAAAAGGGGAAAGACGTTGAACATGTTTTTCCTGTAGAGATGAGTCTGGTGGAGAAGCTGATTGAAAAGTATAATAGAAAATCCAGACGGGGTGCTAAAATTAAGCATTAAAATTTAAAAAAAAAAGGACGCTGATGAAGAAATGGATGGGAAATTACACCCCTCTATCATCCTTTTCCTCCAAGGAATGAATAACACTAGGAAAGAATGCAAAGTTTGACCACGCTACATATAATTTCCTTCTGGCACATATTTCAGTGTTGAATGCGTGTCTGGATTTGCTTCCAGTGAAAAGCCAGAAAATAAATATGTGTGTGTGTGTGTGTGTGTGTGTGTGTGTGTGTGTATTCCCCAGCCAGCATAGGACTTCAACTCCCAGAATTCCCCAGTCAGCAAGGGTGGCCTTCAATTTCCAACTCCTGTCTGCTCCATTCGGCAAAGATTTGAGGATGAAGTAAGGTCGGCGAGTCCAAAGTTGGCTGTTTGCAGCATTGAGTCAGAAGGGACCCTAGGGGTCATTTAGCCCAACCCGCTGTTCAGTGCAGTATACCTGAATACCAAAACTGTATTCTCATCTCACGTTGCACCCTGAATAAGAAAGTCCCCACCACCACCACCCAAACCCCTCCCCCCAAAAAAAACAATACAGGTAGTTTCTCAACTTACAACAATTCATTTAGTGACGCGATGCCCTTTTTTTTTTGCAACCTCCTGACCAGGAAAGTCCACGGGGGTGGAATCTGGATTCATACCACTGATTTAAAAACAGAAGTGATTCACTTTGCAGAGAGGTGGCCAGAAGAACGTCTCGCTTAGCGGCGTCAATTCCGGGCTCCATCGTAGCCGTAGGTCGAGGACTAACTGTAACAAACACAAGAATGAAAAAAAAAGAGCCAGATCAAATTTCCTGAGCTGGTTGGAACCGGTTTCAAGATAAGATAAGATAAATTTATTGTCATTGTACTCAGAAACCTGAGAACAACGAAATAAGGTGCTCTTTCACAACATACAACTGAACAACACCAAAAGACATATACAAATAACAATGTAAAACAAATTAAAACAAATAACAGTTAAACAGTTCAAGGACGCTTGCTCAACAATAAATCGCTTTCTACACACACACACAAACACACACACACAGACACACACACAGGAAGGAGCTAATCCACATCAGGAAATGAGTTTGCCTGCAGGGTGTGGAGTCCCAGGGAGAATTATTTTCATTTTCACTTCAACTTTCAAACCCAAAAGCTCTCGGAATCTCTCTGGCTGGGGGGAGGGGGAAAAAAAAAAAAGAACCTTTTTCCCCCCCAGGACCAAATCCAGAGGAATTTCTTTTTTTTAAAAAAAATAAAAATCGAACTGTTTGGGATGCCGCGCAGTGAATCGAAAATGTTGCAAGTTTACTTGGTGCGGATCCAAAGCAAACTTCAGAAAGACTCGATCCTTATGGCTTCGTCTCTCTCTCTGGGATCGCTGTAATCGGTTGGAAAATGTCCCTGGTAAGTCCACGATGGAAGGGAATCTGTCTGTCTGCCTGTCTGTCTATCTACCTATCTATCTATCTATCTATCTATCTATCTATCTATCTATATAAATGTATAGATAGAGGAAAAACTTTTCAGAGCTGGAATGGCAAGGAAATAAGACACCTATGATAGAAGTGTGAGCCAAGGGAACAGCCCACCACATGAAGCAGAAGTGAGGAGGGGGAACAAAGAGACCAAGAGGGCTTTTATTTTTTCAGAGGTGGTTGGTTTTGATGGTCGGGGGGTGGGTGGGTGGGACGGGGACACACGAAGGGGTTCTTGCAATGCTGTGAGCGACAGCTGTCATTTGCAGCAACTTGGGCCTTGCTGTTAGTAGGGTGGAGATTGTGGTGGGGGGGTTAGCCATGCATGGAAGATTGAGTTTCCATTGCTGAAAGAGGGTCGGTCCCCTTTGTCTGGCATGGAGACAGGACGGAACCTTTCTGGTAAACAAATAAAATGTGTGTGTGTCTGTGTGTGTCTGTGTGTCTGTGTGTGTGTTTGTTCCTTCTTCCAGTAACTGGGGGAACAAAAAGTATGAAAACGTCAAATTTTGCACCGGGTGGGTTTAGAAAATAAACATCAAAAGATTTTAGGTGGCTTGAGACTTTCAAGAAGAGACTGGGCGGCCATTTGTCAGAAACGGTGTAGGGTCTCCTGCTTGGGCAGGGGGTTGGACTAGATGACCCACAAGGTCCCTTCCAACTCTGATTATCTGTTCTCTGCTTCCAAGACAAGAGGGTCTGTGTCCCACCCACCTACCCCCTCCTCCCCCCACCTTTGGGGAGGCAAGCAAAATATGGACACACACCCCCAAAATAAAAAAATTCCCCCCCCCCAATCCTCAACCTGGGTTCAAATGGGCAGCCCCCAAATTCAGGAAGAGGGGAGCAAATGTACGATTTGTGTACTTTTAAAAATAAAATAAAATTAAGGGTCAGGGTCTCAGATTTGGGGGGGATGACAACTGAGGGGGGGGGCACAGCAATGGTTGGGGGGGGTTAAATTTGGGAGTGGGTGGGGTCAAGCAAAGTGGGAGGGGCTACATATCACCCCTCCATTCTGTTTTTTTAATCCCTTTTTCAGATGCTTTTCAAAAGGCGCTCCTCTTTTTTTCCTCTCCCGTTTGATTTGTTTTATTTATATTACCTATAAAAACTCAATGTCAATTTCAAACAGCGTGTCGTCTGGGCCCACCCTTTTTTTAGGGCACCCTAAACAAAATATTTACAACAATACTCATCACAATAACATTCATACTAGAATACCAATCCTATTTAACTTACCTACTTTAACCAACCTCTGTTTTCACATTTTGTCCTTTTGGTTATGCCCCTAACTTCTGTTTTTTTTTATTATCTAACCATTGGTAAAAAATAAATCCCATATCTGGAAATCTTCCTCGTTGCTGTTGTACCGCTAATCCTAGTTGGTTTAGTGAGGAGCCTTTTCACAACAATCCTGCAGAGTAGGCTGGGCCGAGATTTCTAGATCTTTGGGAAACTGTTATTTTTGTTTATTGATTGATTGATTTTAAAGCACCGATCTTTAAATTTTTCACAAATGGCCAACTAACTGCCTTGTTATATATCCCCCTTCCTCGCCACTTCCCTTTAGTTAAAGCGAAGGGAAAGCAGAAATTAAAATTGCAAATTGCGATTATAAAAAAAAAAAATTCCTCGCAGAAGTTTTAAAAGAGAGAGGAAGAGAATGGTCGTAATAAAAATCTTCCCCTTTTTCATCAAGTTGGGATTTTTATTTTGGGGGAAACGCCTTCAGCGAAAGAAAAAAAACAGACATTAAAAAAAAAAAGCCACAGGTACTGAGCGGGTGGGAACTGGAAACCCCAAATAATTGCTTATTTTTTATTTTTGCACGTCTCGCTTCTTGTCTGCGAGTCTGCACTTTAGTGCAAAAGTCAGGTGGAAAAAGTTGGAAGGTTTCTTCTTTCCCCAATTTGGATACATCTAGTTGTGTTTGGATTTCAGTGTTGTTGTTTTTTAGGCAAAGGGGATGTTTCAGATAACATGTAACAGATAATCAGAGTTGGAAGGGACCTTGTAGGTCATCTAGTCCAACCCCCTGTCCAAGCAGGAGACCCTGCACCATTTCTGGCAGATGGGATGGTAGAATTACATTTTGGCTCAAAAAGTGGAGTGCATCGGCCTGCATTTTTCTAGGTCGAATATTCACTCTGTTTCCTTGAAAGGGGAATTGAGTCAGCGAAAGGAACACAACCGCTCTTTTAAAAAACTGTTTGAGACACGTTTTTGCTAATTTAGCTAAAGTGTTAGAAGCTTTTTTCCCCCCCTCTCTCTCTTTCTGGCAATTTCAATCTGACTCAAGATAGACCTTGTCTGAAAATGCATCGCGAAGCCGCTTGCTAAGATCTACCTGGTTCATTGCCAAAAAAATATCTTTTTTTGCAGCAAAAATGAAAAGAAAAAAAAAGCGACAATCCAGGCAAGCATTTTGGTCAGAATAAATAGATAACCTTTTAAGTGACTGTCATGTTCCTTTAAGGAGAGTTCTCCACTTACGAGCCCCAAAATTTATGCTTGCTACTGTGTTTCTCTGAAAATAAGACCCAACTGGAAAATAAGCCCTAATGCGTCTTTAGGAACAAATGTTACTATAAGATCGGGTGTTATTTTCGGGGAAACACGCTAAGTGAGACATTTGCTAAGTGGGTTTTTATGACCCTTTCTTGCCACCGTTGTTAAGTGGATCGCTTGCGGTTTGTTAACTTAGTAGCACGGTCCTTAAGCGAATCTGGATGCCCCATTGGTTTTGCTTGTCAGAAGGTCGCAAAAGCGGGGGACCCTACAACCGTCGTAAATACGAGTCAATTGCCCCCATGTGTGAATTTTGATCCCGTGACCACGGGGAGGCTGTAAGGGTTTTAAGTTTTAAAAAAATACTTGTAAGTCCCTTTTTGCAGCGACGTTGTAACTTAGAACCGTCACTAAATGAACAGCAGTAGGTCAGCCTTTCGTCTGATTTGCTTTCCACGTTAAACTGATTAAATTTATATTTTTCCTGGCTCTTTTTAAACCTGCGTGCTCCTGGTTAACCCTTAGTCAAAGTAATACTTGTTGTACCTCCAAAAAGTGGAATTTGAGGCTGCCCACGGTTGTGTAAACCTGTTAGCTAATGTTTTATGCAATTATTACAAGATGGCGATTGTATAACAGTTGTTTGCACATAGGAGGAATTTCCCAAGTGTTTTTTCTCTTCTTCTTATGGAAACATGGAAAATTAAGATTCCTGCCAACTCTTATGTCCAAATCCTTGTGTAAATTTTAAAAGCTTCTTCCAGTAAGTTAGTTCTGTGCAGGGTGCCTTAGAAACAAAGGGAAGGGAAGGGAAGGAGGGAAGGGAAGGAGGAAGAAGTAAGGGAAGGAAAGAAGAAGTAAGGAAAGGAATGGAAAGGAAAGGAGGGAAGGGAAGGGAAG